AATTACTTGTTAGTGAGTGCTCACTGTTCATTTGGGTTTTTATGCTTGCTGCTGTGCTGATGGGTTCAAATTAAAATGCCAAAAGCGTAATCAGTGGGGTCCTAAGATTGAAATTGCTTGATTTGTGGTTCACTGAATTTATTATGTTTTCTGGCGGAAAAGAAAACAAGAAAAGGGTTAATCACAGGTCGAGAAATTTCTCAAGGGGGAACTTAAGATCTATTATTTTCGTTTACATAAGAAATGTCTTAATTTGGCTAAATCAGATTTTAGAGTGCTAAAATTCAGTAAACATACCCTTAATATTAGCTTGTTCTTTTTTGGGCAGAAACAAAAATAAATATTTGAAATGATAAGGAAGCTTAATAATTTTGTCTATACCCCTAATAATTTATTACAAACATGTTTGCCTTTAACAAACTTATTCACATTGTTGTGGGTAGCATAGAGTTTTCATTCGAAACGCGTTAAAATGCAAATTCATGGATGATTTCCCGTCAGAACCTTTATGTATCTGTTGTTGGATTATGTAGATTTTCATGCGGCACGTCAGTAGCTCATTTGCATGCAATTATTTTGCTACTCTCCATTGGAAAAGAAAAACTTCAACCCTTGGGTGGGCGGAGGATATCGGGATATAGACAAATTGTGACATGTACTTCAGCTGCTTCAGTTACAGTATTGATGCCTCCTTCGCCTTGTAATTTTGCGCCTTCATCCTCTCAATGGGCATTTAATCAAGCTGTGAATTCGACTCCCAAACTTCAATGACAAATGCATGCAACCATAAGAAAAAAATGTTGGAAAAATAATCAAGTCGAAGATAAGGACGATAGGAACAGAAAAAAAAAATGGTAAATGAAATGAAATTACTGAACAGCAAAATGGGATGGAAAGCAGGGGGAGTTTGGGAATCGCGAGGGGGAAAAAATGCAAATGGTGAAATTTTAAACCCTTGAATGGGCGCGCCATTGTCTTTGATAGTCGGTGGAAAAGCGGCAGGGAAAGCGGTCCATGGGGGTGTGGAAATGAAAGTGGAGTGGGGTGCTAGCATCCTGGGTTGCCCATTTGCCAACTGGGCTGTAAGTAAGCGCATTTTTCCCGATTTTTTTCCCCAGCAAAATCTGCTCCTTTTGTTGTTGTTGTTTTCGTTGTTGTTGTTGCTCTTCCTTCCGCTCATTTGTCTCTGCATAAAAATGCCCGCGATTTTGTCCTTTCTGTGTGTGTGTGTGTGTATGGGTAATTTTTTTGGTTGTGCTTTTAATTGTATTTAGTTACATTAGTAATTATCGATTTTTCCTGGGCTCGGACTTTCAACTGGGATCCCTCGTTGGGTACTGTACCTGATGTCGAATGGCAAAAAGGGCTTAAAAACGTTCTGTTTGTTTAATGGAATTTGGGGTTAATGGGAAACTTTTTAACATAATTGAAAACTGAGAGAGATGTAATAATATAAATAATATAGATAGTACAAGTTTATAAGACGGGAAACAAATCAATTTATAAAAAGATATAACCAGAATATATAAATAAATGGTTTCTCATGTTCAAACCAAAAGCAGCTTACAATATAGAATTTTAATTTTCCTTTGATATTTTAACATTTGGACATTCTTAAGAATGAAAATTTTAATTCAATTCTTAACATCGATTGCTTGATTAAATAATAGAATAAATTTGTGACATTTTCTATTTTCTTTACTTCATTTTAATATTGAAAGGCATGTCAGAAAATATTATTATTTGTTTTCCTTTCTTTATGATTTGCTATTAATTAACGTCTACAAAATTTCTACTTCTTTGCATTTATGGCCGCATTGATGCCCCTCGAAGCTTGTTCGTTTATGGTTTAGACAGATTTGGGCTCTTTGATCAGGGTTTTTGCATTTCACCCCTCAGCTTTCTGTGCGATTCTTGTTCACTAACCATTTGCTGGCATTTTTTGCTTCACGTGCTCGCTTGTTACTCTGCTTGTCAGCCGGTCTCGCTTTTCAATTATGCCTGACTGGTCTCCTGGTCTCCGTTCCGTTTTAGCTCAGAGAAGCTCAGAGAAGTCGAAGCGAAGCGAACAGAACAGAATAGCCATTGTGGCATTTAAGCTATATATCACTCATACGCAGCATTGGCGCTTTATTTTCATGCACTAATTGCGTTAGAATTTCAATAGGAATAAGGAGAGCCAGCTATAACCCAACCGACCAACCTTCCTTTTGCTCCTTTTCTCATTTTTTCCTTGCCTTCCAAGCTCTCTCTTTGATTTGACTTTAGCACATGAAGAGTTTTTAATTGGAATTTGCAGTGGGAGATTATCAAAACCAGGCGAAGGGGCAGTGATTTTTCTTTGCTTGTCTCCTTTGATTTTTTTCCGCATTTTTTTTTTTTTTTTGGGGGTAGCATCTCTTGGTGGATACATACGTACATACATATATATACCTGCCCAATGCCAATTTTTTCTTCAACTTCCTTGGCAAGACTTTGCCACGCAGCCTTTTTTTCCTGGGTTTCGGGTGTGTGTGTGTGTGTGTTGCTTTACATAAGACCCGGACAGTCCGGAGAAGTCCGTAGTCGGCAGTCCAGAGTCCGTAGTCCGAAGTCCAAAGTCCAAAGTCCGGGTGTGCCCTCACGGCCATTAGAGCGTTCTGTGCTCTGTCGTTGTCGTAATTAAAAACAAGGAAAATTCTGCACGGAGAGAAAAAAGAAGGAAAGAAAGAAGAAAATGTGCCAAGGAGGCGGATCGGGATTCGGGATTGGGGATTGGGGTAGCCTTCGGTTTCTCATCGCTGCTGCTGCTGTTCACCTTCCGCACCGAGAAACCCCTTTTGCTTCTTCTTCTTCCTCCCCACTTGCCGCAATTTATTTAAATTTTCTGAGCCGAACTCTTTGCTCCTTCTTAATTTCTTTAGCCCTTTTCTTTGTACTTGTTGTTTTTAATAAAGTGCGCTGGTGGACACAGCACAAAAACAAAAAAAAAAGGACCTCGGCAAAAAAGTTGCGTAAATTTGTTATGTACTTTTTTTCTTTTAAATAAATAAATATGGGAAAGAGGAGGAGGAGGAGGGACATCAGAATCTTCTTGGCGTTGATGAGCAGAGCAGAGCAGAGCTGAGCTGAGCAGAGAAACTGGGTGGAGCGAGCGACCACAGGGCCACCCACTCATATATAGCCGAGCAATCATGCATCCTTTCCTTTCCTTTCCTGGACGGTGCACCCCATCCTCTTGGCCTGTAGTTCCGTTTCCGGCGCCTGCCATTTGCATCTGCAGAAGAAGCAAAAAAATTCTTCTTTCATTTATTCGAAGGATTCTTCGTCCATCTACCCCACCCCCACCACATCCATACCATCCTCCATACCCTTGCAGATTTTTTTCCTGCTGTCGAAGAAGAAAAGATTTCTTTTTCTCGTTTTTTAAAACACACAAACTGGACGACGACGACGACGGACCAAGTCGACCGACGGACCCAAACGGGGTGGGCATTGGGCATTGGGCAGCATTTCTTTGCGGCTTGAGCGGACCGAAAGAAGAGAACGGGTACACAAATTTCAACCTACTCAATTTTTGCCTTAATTTCTTTTCTGTTTCGCCAGGAGACCTCGGGCCACCGGAGCCATGCCCATGCTCATGCCCATCGTGCCATCCTTCCCAAATCCTCCCCAACTCCTTCCCCATTTTCTTCTCCAAACCGCCCGCCTCTTTTTCGCAAAAGGCGGTAATAAGAATTTTTTCTTGGCCGACGGAGTGTGCGTGAGCCGTAGTGTTTTTTCCGTATTTTTAATTTAAAATGCGAAGCATGGACAAAAAAAAATATATATATGTATAAAAATGGAATGGAAAAGGGATGGTATGGGATGGGAAAAGCGGATGGGAAAGGGGCTTTTGCGCACTGCTTAAAAGAAAAACTTCTGAAGTAAATATTTGTCTGTCCAATTGCTGCGGCGACTGCCAACTGCAGCGGATTGGGTTCGGAAAGGGGCTTCTTCAAGGGGGGAGGAGGAGTGGGTGGTGGCAGTGGGTCGCAGTGGGTGATAAGAAGGAGGAGGGTTTTTGGTTGAGGGCGTAGTCGTAGTCGGTTGGCATTGGCGATGGCGAAAGTGTTGTTGGTGGACGGGTTGGGCAACGGCGGCGGACACTGCTGTGGACACTGGTGACCAACACGATGCCAAGACAAGCGACGCCGTAATGACTGTCACAGAGTTCCATGGACAAACACAAGCTACACCTTCTGCCCTCCACCTACTCCGTCTCCTCCTCTGTCTCCTCAATGCCACAACGCCGCCTCCATGCCAACATCCCAAAAAACGAACGAAGGGAAAAAGTGAACAAATTTCCATCACATCACCTAAGCTCTGTTATGTATTCCCCCGGGCGTCTCTCAGTCGGAATGGGCGCGGCACTTTGGAACTCTTTCAACTATCCGATATATAGGCTATTTTTCAATCAAATCACCGCATTCCATATTCAATGTGTGTAAATTGCCAAGGGAAACGGTCTTCAGAGGAATTGGTGTTGCGATGAATACCATTATATCCTTGAAACGCCGCAACTGACCATTGTATTCGATATAAAAAAAGGTTTTTGATCAGTAGAAATTTGAATTAGTTATGAAATTAATGTTTCAAGCTATTTAAATTTTCTATTATTTGGTTTGAGCGTAACAATAATTCCTAATCAGTTAAAATGTTTATTATTTTAATAATTAACTCGATTTGAAACTCGTTATTTGTTCTGAAAGAAATCATTTATTTGTTTGCTTTATGAAAACAAACAATTTGAACTTCAACATGAACTTAACTTGATTGACCTTATAAATAATACGAACCTTATCAGCAAATCAGCATAATAAACCAATTAGTGATGGTAAACCATTAAAGTTGCACTTGCAATCATTTGAAGTTTGTGAGACAACCTTTAATTTGTAATTGTAAAAATCCGTAGAACATGTTCCAATCAGTAATCCTATATAGTTGACTAATATATTTGTTACCTCCTTGAATCTTTGCAGGGCCTCTTGCGCACCGCCGAGCAGCTAAAGATCAAGGGCCTCTGCGAAACCGCCGAGAACGCGGATGACCTGAACGACGCGGCCACCGCAACGATCACAGTTTCGGAGAACATTCAGCAGGCGGTCGTTGGTAATATCGTGAACGCGACCATTGTGCCCGGAGCTCCTTCGCCCTCGTTGGAACAGCAGCAACACCACCAGCAGCAGCAACAGGAGCAACATCAGCAACAGCAGCAACAGCAACAACAGCAGCAGGTGCATGCACAGCAGCAACAGCAGCAGCAAATCAACGCTGGCTTGCTGACACAACACGGAGTGGCAAGCGGAAGTGTCTCGCTATCCGGGCAATTGCTAAGCTCCTCCGCAAGCGGCAGCAGCGGAAGTTCGGCCGGCGGACAGCAGGGAACGCAGACGCCATCCGGTTTGCAGCCGACGCCACGAAAGTCGCGACTTAAGCGCTCCAAGTCGCCGGATTTGCCAGTTGGAGGCGCAGGCGGCGGAGGAGTTGGAGGAGCAGCCGGAGGCCCGAGTGGCAGCTCCACGCAGCAGCAACAGCAGCAACCGCAACCGGCACACCACCACCACCCGCAGACCATTCTCATCCAGGGCCAGAATCCCAATTCGATTGTTAGCCTGCAGCAAACGGCCGACGGCAATTATATACCAGTGACGGGAACCGTTGACGATTCCGACGCCGAGGATCACGATCACGAGCACGAACACGAGGGACACCACGGAGGACACCATACGCACGGCGGAGGACACGGCGGACACGGTCACGGTCACGATCACAGTCACAGTCACAGTCACGAGCACGAGCACGAGAGCAAACCGAACAAGATCTGCAAGACCGAGCAGTCGGTGGCCTCGCCGGCATCGAATTCATCGAGCGGCTCCAATAATGCAGCGGGCGTGAGCGGCGTGACATCCACCGGCCAAGCCATCGTCACACAAATTGTAGTAGCGCGCGACGGAAAAGATACAAAAAATATGACTAGTTTAGGCATGGGCATGGTAAGTTGGTTTAGCTAGTTTATATCTTTGGTTTTTTAATTAGTTAGTTAGCATACTCAGCAATCTTAGTCAGAGATGGAAAAAATCTCTTCTTTAGGCATACTAAACATTATCTTGCTATACTAACATTTCGAATCTGTCTCTCTTCATCTGAATTCTCTGGATTGCCTGCAGAACGGCGGCCTGTTGGGCGTGCCCATGGGTTTCCTGGACTTCACACCCGAGCCACCAGCACCATCCGCCACCCCAGTCACCGTTACGGAGCACGTCGATCTGTCCTGCAATCCGAGCACGGACACGCGCGATCTATCAAGTGAGTTATATTATCGGTAGTGTAGAGCCAGTCGGATCTCTAATCAAAATCCGAATGCCTATTATAACATCTTAACTTATATTTTATTTTATTTCCTTTGGTAGATCCCACCGAACCGCTCGATATAGACAATCATCTGGCCCAGCAGATCCATCGGCTCGATCAGTCCCCCATGCACTCGATATCGCATCACCATACCGGCGATGAGAGCAACTCGAACCTGGTGCAGCACATCAAAAGCGAGGTGATCGAGGCTAAGCATCTGGCAGCTGCCCAGCAGCATGCGCTTAGCCAGCAGCAACATGCCCATCACCACCAGCAACAGCAGCAGCAGCAACACCAGCAGCACCAGCAGCAGCAACAGCAGCAGCAACAGCAGCAGCAGCAGCAGCAGCAGCAGCAGCAACATCTTCATGCCCAGCAGCTGTTGGCCCAGAGTCAGTTGCAGCAGCAGCAGCAACAGCAGCAACACCACCAGCAGCAGCAGCAACAGGCGGCTGCAGCAGCCGCAGCAGCAGCAGCAGCTGGTGTCCACGGTCAGCATGGGGGACACGTGACGCACGCCGACATCGGCGGTGCCACCGTCATGGAGATTGATCCGAGCCAGATTAAACACGAGCCGGGCATGATAATAACGCCAGAGATTGTCAACATGATGTCCTCGGGGCATATGGGTGAGTTTGGGCGTCACAACATTGTGTTAAAAGGTCTCAGAAGGGCATTTTACAAGGTTGAAGGAGTCTGCATTGTTATTCTTGAGCTTATTAACCTCTTAAAAGATTAAAGTATATAAAACGTAAACTTTAAATATAAAAGGGATTAGTATAAGCCACGAAATACTCAAAAGACATTGAGTTTACCATTATCCCTGTTAAAGTAACTGGGTTTTTATTGCCTCATTTGAATCTTATAAAAATTAAAATATAAACATGTTCATTTCTTTGTTTAAAAGGAGAAAATTACCTACAAATGATCAATCAAATGAAACCTACTGCTGTGAATATTTAAAATCATCGGTTACCCAAAAAATTAAGACACAAATATAAATTGAATTATTATTTTGAAAGCCATGGTTTTCTTTTAAATATTCATTCGTTTTTCCTAAAAACGTTTTATTTGAAGAATTTGATTGCCTGAAAAAGGATTATTCAAACAGGAATCTAATTTGTTCTTTTCAATAATACTAATAATCTGTTAAATAAAAAATACTTATAACATCTCAATTGAATTTTCAGACATGTACAACTCGGACACGAGCGAGGATTCGATGATGATCGCGAACGGCTCGCCGCACGATCAGAAGGAGCCGCACTATACGAACTTGGACCAGCAGCACGGCGGTCTGGGCGGCAGCGTTTGTGGGCCGGGGGGCCCGGCGGCGGCGGCGGTGGTGCTGGTGGCGGTGGGGGCATGAGTGGTGGGGCTGGCTCTGGCTCTGGCGAGAAAGGTCAGTTTAATGGTCCCAAAGCTTGGACACAAGATGATATGAATTCAGCTTTAGATGCATTAAAGAACCAAAACATGAGCCTGACGAAAGCATCCGCCATTTATGGCATCCCATCGACCACCCTGTGGCAACGCGCTCATCGCCTGGGCATCGAAACGCCCAAGAAGGAGGGCGGCACCAAGTCGTGGAACGAGGATGCCCTGCAGAACGCCTTGGAGGCGCTGCGTTCGGGTCAGATATCCGCGAACAAAGCGTCCAAGGCCTTCGGCATCCCATCCTCGACGCTCTACAAGATCGCCCGGCGCGAGGGCATCCGCCTGGCGGCGCCGTTCAATGCCGCCCCAACCACGTGGACGCCCGAGGATCTGGAGCGCGCCTTGGAGGCGATACGGGCGGGTAACACCTCGGTGCAGAAAGCCAGCGCTGAGTTTGGCATACCCACAGGTGAGTTGTCCGCAAATCCAGTCCAGCCATCGAGGAATTCTGGTGTCCATTTTCCATTCGCCGTCTCTTTTTCATTAAAAGTTTATTTATGGGAACTGAAGAAGATTGTTATTGAAGAAGTTGATCAAATTGAAAGATTAAGATGGTCATGTTTAAAGGAGAAGTTTAATGTCTAAGGATGCTAATTCATATATTTGAATTATATTTTGAAACATCCTATAAGGAAGCAACTCAAGATCTTCCACTTTAGCTTCTGAAAAATAAACAACTTGAACAGAAATCAAAATAAGATATGATATAGGAGAGTTTATTTTGAATTTAAATACTCGCTCATTGGAATATGTATAATTATAATTGCAGTTTTTTCTGTGCAACTTTAGCTTTGACTAGATCAAATTCAAGAGTTCTCTTTTTCTGAGAAACATTTAAACGCCCTTCCACTCAGATTGTAACTTGAAAACAATCCGTAAAAGTGATAACTTGAGTGTTTTTCTGGCCCCTTTTCACAAAGCCCAGCAAACAGGCAAAAACTACTGCACTTAATTTTGTGCCGCTCCCTCTTTGTACCCTTCTCCGATTCCGATTCCGATTCCGATCTGAATTTGCCGTGACTAATCCCCCCTCCTTTCTCCACTCAATCAACCGACTCAAAGGAACACTTTACGGACGCTGCAAACGGGAGGGCATTGAGCTGTCGCGCTCGAATCCGACGCCCTGGTCCGAGGATGCCATGAACGAGGCCCTGAACTCAGTGCGGTGAGTGTGTGCGATGAACTACTGTCGTCAATTAAGTCGCTAAACACCATTTCCGTCCCTCGACGGACGTGTGTGTGTGTGTGTATCCCCCACAGCGTTGGCCAAATGTCCATCAACCAGGCGGCCATCCACTATAACCTGCCCTACAGCTCGCTCTACGGACGCTTCAAGCGCGGCAAATACGATGTGGTGGCCAACACGAGTGGCGTCGCGCTGCTCAACACCTCGGGCAACACCACCGGCAGCATTGAGATTATCGAGCACAGTCAGGAGAACTCGGTACGTACTAAAGAAGAACCACCACGGCGGTTGAAAAGCCAACAGCCAACAGCCAACAGCCAACAGCTAAAAGCAAACGCAAATGCAACTCACGAAATCTGTCTGAACTGAAAAGTCTTTAAATGCGCAGAGAGAATGCCACTTTTGAGTAAAGAAAATTTAAATGATTTGGTTTTTTAAATTTCTCCAAAGAATTAACTTGTTTTAATTAATATAATTTCATATATAGAATTTAATGTATACTACTTGAAAGAAGTTTTTCTTTTTTTAAAGCTTTCAACATCTATTTAGAAGATCTTATACAAAAATTATAGCTTATTTCAATTTTAACCTATTTCAAGTTGATTTTACCCCACTACATTGGGATTGTTTTCCTTAAACTTAAAAGAAGTTTTTCATTTTTTTAAAGTCTTAAAAATTTATTTAGAATATCCAGTACAGTAATTATAATTTATTTAAATTGTATACTGTTTCAAAATGATTTTGCCACTAAATTGAGTTTGTTTTTCCATCCTAAAACCCTTTATATTTTCAACTCCCCCACACACAAACATTTTCACACAAATGCCAGCTTTGACTAACCGAGATAACCAATTTATTTATGCAAAGTTGCATATGTTACAGCAACAGTTCCCGTACAGTCCGTCGCCGCATCCGCCAACGCCGCAGCACCACAGCACGCCGCAGCACCACAGTACGCCGCAGGGTCCGCCGACGCCGCAGCACATGCAACAGCACGTGGTGCACATGCAGCAGCAGCAGCAACAGCAGCAACAGTCGCCCCATCCTGGCCACCATCCGCAGCACATGCAACAGGATGTGGTCACATCGAGCAGCCAGGTGGTGCACAGCCAGCAGCAGCAGCAGCTTCAGCAGATCTATCAGCACCACGGGACGCCGGAGCGTAGTTGAGAATCACTGCATGCTGCGGCATTAATGGGCAGCACCGGCGGCGGCGGAGGAGCAGGAGGATCAGGTGGTGGAGTAGGAGTTGGAGTAGGATCAGGAGCCAGTACAAGCGGCAGCACGGCGGCGGCGGTCAGTAGCTCGCCGTTTGCCAGCATATCGGCGCTGGTCAGCGGACCGAGCAGCGCTCCACCACCGCCGGTGGCTGCCGGTGGCTCCTCGACGACAAACGTCGGCGGTAGCGGCACCAGCAAGCGCAAGAAAGCCAACAAGCAAAAGCGTTGAGAGCGGGTGGATGGACAGCCACCACCGGAGAAGGAGCAGGATGAGCAGGAGGATCAGGAGGAGGAAACCATCGCCGGAGTGGCCAGGCCCGAGGACATCAAGTTTAGATTTAATTGCAAGCACTGGAAGCGCAAGCTGCGCCAGTTTCATTTGCTATTGTCCAAACAGTAGTCAGTCAGTCAGTTAGGAAAAAACACACAGATGATAATAACACACATGGAATGATCCACAGACAAGCAAAAAAAAACAGAGAAAAATTCCCATGGGCAGGACAAAAAAATCAATCACAAAAAACACTTTGAACTAGATGAGTTGGACATTAATTACACAATCGAGATGTGTATAAAATGTAAATATATAACGAAATATGCTTTATCTACATTATACGGAAAACATAGTTATGTAGGTAAATAGGTTCGCGAAAGTCTTTTGTTCTAGCCAAGTAAGTTTTTGGAAAAGAGAGAAAGATACATAAAAAAAACCATAACTAGATTGTAGGAGAAAATGAATTTTAGATTTTTGCCTAGGCTCGAAGGATAATGAATTCGTTTTGGGCTCGCAGTTTTAAGAGCACTTTGTTATTAATGGAAATGGACACGCGTACATACATATATATTTTCGACCCGTAATCATTCTGAGAACCTTGATGAACCTAGCAGCTAATTGCGGAATTCAAACAATTGAACCCTTCTAAGTGTTGCTATAATTTTTGCTATAATTTTTGCTTAGTGTGAGACTGAAAGTGCGCCTAAAACTGTAGAAAAAAAAAACACAAGCCCAAAACTATAGTGAATACACATGCAACACAACAACACATACATGAATCAAATGCTTTATATCCATATTATTTTGAGTGGAGAGAACGAAGGGAAGAACAATACCTTAATGTAGAATTAAACCAAATTATCAAGGTCCTAGAAATTAAACTCACTAGCTTGTAATGACAACCGCGAACAGATCAGATAAGAGAAACAACAAACAAAAAAGAAAACAAGAGTTATTTGAATTTAGCTGAAGGCGCCCCCTGAATCAAGAAATATTAATTTTGATTTCAACTGAATTAAGAATATAGCCAATACATAAATGTAGAAATGAAGTAATTGCAAGGAAACAACACATGGAATGTATTTTTGATAGAACCATAAACAGAAGCAGGCGAAACTAGCGAAGCGAACTGCAAATGTTGTTAATGTTAAGCTCTTAATAATGTCCTTTCGAAATCGCATTCAAAACAAAGATTTAAAGCAAGCTTGTAAGAGAAATCAACCAATAAATACACACGTATATATATGGATACATAAAAACCTCTAAGTGAACTGTAAAATTTTTTAGTGTAGCAGCGATCGAGAGTAGTTATATAAAACTATCTTTCTTTAAAGAACGCTTCGTTCAAGCAGATTTGGTTGCCTCTCGAAAGGATTAGATGTTACTGTATCTATATCAAAAAAAATCGGAAATAAAATCTACAAGGAGAAATACATTCAAAATTTTGAAATTAGAATTTGAAACAAAACAAAAAAAAAAAAAAAAAAAAAAATGTATAATAGCTTCCACTAGTGTATCAACATATTTAGGAATCGGGGATCGGATACTGTAAACACCCATCTGAAGTAACTTCAACTATTTTTGGTTTCATCTCAACTATACGTGTGCGGTGAGCACTTGGAAATCTTTGTAAATACATTTGAATAGTTTCTTTAGTTGTTAGTCGACTTAGGGGAACAGGTATCTGGAAATTACAAAAATCAAATGTTGCAAATTAATTTATTTTAGCGTTATAGACCCGTAGAACTGAATGCAATATGCTTACCTTAAACTCAACATAATTTAATTCTATTCCTATTATCTTTAGTTGGATTCATTTTAATGTTTTATAGCAAAACTGTATATCATTGTAAATTAATTAAAGCATACGAAGTAGCATCTACAAGAGTTAAAACAACAATAAAACAAAAAATATCATTATAACCTTGTTAAAATTGTCGCAAGAGCAATTAAAAAATGAACCCAGCAACTTGAAGAAGAATCGAAAATGAAGGCGAATCACAGAAGCGTAAAATAATAAAATATTACATTTAAAATTTTAAGCTAACTAAATGTGTAAGAGTAACCTTTAACCACACAATATTAAAGCACATTTTGGATTATCAAATATGCATACACAGAAAATATCTATTATAAACGGTAAATGTAAACCCAAAAAGAAACACTGAAACAATCTATGTAACAGCCGGAATAGCGAAAACCCATGTAATAAATAAAAACAACAACATTTAATGTAATATTGGTATAACGTAATTTTTAAAGTGAGGTACTATAAATAAAAATTATTAAATAATATTAAATACTTATCATTTCATTTGAAATGCTGTTTTATTTATGCGGTGAATGTCAAACTGTATGTCATTTGGAATGATAATTTCTTCTACGAAGAGTGCCGGCTTTTTTCAACAGACTTCTTAAAAACTCTTAAACTTGGTAAATTTAGTTTAATTTATAATTTGAAAAGAATATACATTATATTTATTTATGGTTTTAATCCGACCCACTAGTTTTTTAGTGGGGTAAATAAATTGCACTGATGAAGATAAGATTTACTTATTTGTCAGGAATTGTTAGAGGTAACTGATAATTGATTAAAAATTGTTTTAATTACATGCACTTAAAAAGATAGACTGGGTACTTGCCATGTTTCAAGTATTTGTTAAAAATTCAGAAAAGGTTTAAATTGCATCTTTTAAATCTTTAAATACGATCTGTGTAATTCAATTGGATCAGTTTAATTTGAATAGAATTTTTTGGCGCTCCTGGTTTGAATCCCGTTTGCGAATTTTATCCGCGCGATAAAGCTCGGCCTCTGTTAACCTGATCTTGGCTCAGGGTTTTCTTGTTTTGGCCAGCAATGTTAGCGGAGCTTTTCTGTTAGGTGACCCATGGCGACTCTCCGCTCAGCTGGCGCATGCTCTCGCACATGTTGGACTTTTTCGACCGTGCTCACCTAGAGGCATCTTCCGCTTTGCCAGTCAAAGTTCTGCTTCCCATGTTAACGGTGGTACCTGGTATTTTCCGCGTTCTGTCGTCTGCACGCTTCCTTTCGCTACGCAGAAGATTTTTTACCAAGACCAGAAAAAATTGGCAGACCTACCATTGTCTTCAGGCTTAAACAAAAAACAAAGGCAACGCAATTCGCCACTGATTCTTGGAAAGTGATTTGTAAGTTCAGGTTACAAACGCAACGAATCGCAAACGTGTTGAATGGGAAATCCTCCTTATCAGCTAATTGATTAATGAGCATTAATGTGTTTATATACATTTGATTTAAATCAGCTCAATTGAAAGTGATGACTTTATTAAGTGAAAGTGATATGATGTGTGCTCTAATTGAGTGTGAAACTTGCAAATTTACTTGTCCCCTCCAAAAAAATGTTATACATTTTAATTTAGCGGAAATGTCAATTGAAAAATTCGCATGATTGTGAATTTTTGATGTAAGAGCGGAGTGTGTGTTGAATTATTAATGATGGATAGAAAAGTTTGGGGATTGGATGAGGGATGTTAAATCGGAATCGGGGTTACAAAAGCACGGCCCAAAAGTTAACTGCATAAACAGTTTATTTTTATATGCCAGAGGACAGCTGCAAGTTCAAGTGTACAAAACTCGTAACCCCCATAAAATTACATTACGCATGATACACACAAACACTTATATATATCTTTGTATAAATTTATATATATATTTATATAAATGTATATATGTATGTATAGATGGGTACATGGGGAGTATGACGTGGTGTGCGAAAGCCCCGTCGCTCAACACGTTCTTAAATATTAAGTTAAAAGACAACAGCAAAAAAAATACGCAACAATAATAACAGCTACCAAACAACGTGCTTATTAAGAGAGTCCGGACTCCGGAGAGAAATTATAAATATTGGGAGGAGAGCGCAAAAAAAAGCAGCCCCCACCGAAAAGCTTCCACTCTCGAGAGTAACTCTCTCTCCTGAGCACAGCTGATTGCCAGAATTCTAGCCTCAAATACCCCTACATAACCCCCGTTAAAACCATCCCCCTCCTCACCCCGCAAACACCCGACCATTTGTTTTTACAACAAGTGCCGCTCTTGGCGAAAAAGTGTTTGCTGATGTTTGCCATGGTTTTTAGCCATTTGAACTTGGCACCAGATAAGTGGGTCTAGGGTACTCGCAAGGAGTGTGACCGCATTTCGGGGTCTTCTCTAGGTTGCTTGACCTTGAAAGTCGTCGGAATTTATTTCGATTCAAAAATAAACAAGCCAAGTGACACATTTCGAAACTTCTATAGCGAAAAGATGATTCGAACAAGTGGGAAAATAAATAAGTTTTGAATTTTGTTTTGCAGACAATTAGAGTATTATTTAGCTTGAATAAAAAATCTCATCATTAATCTCTTGATTCCCTTAAATGTTGCAAAATTAAAAACTGGTAGACATAATTGTCAGTTATTTTGATTGATGGCCCATCAATAAGCGAGCACAAACCCTTAAGTATCACATTGATAAATTTTAAATGGACATGCTACACGTTTCAAGTTATTTTGATCAAGCCCCAACATTTAAATGCTCAATTTGGTAACGATGGAAAGTTTTAAATAGACCTGTTTAATATTTAAAGGCCTTCCTATAAAGGCCTTAAACCAACATAGAAAAAAAGGGAATAACCCACAACATCTGCGATCGAATCTTTGACTTTGAAATTTCAGTAGGCGGTCTGAAGAGAAAACCTCAGCCGCTTAGGAGCTTTAATAAAAGTAACACACAAAGTCAGCCAAAGTAAAGCCAAGTGAAGGTGCGTGTGTGGCTGTCATACTATGTGTGCTGATGGGAGCCTTGTTTGTTGTTTTTCGAGAAGTAACGTAAAAGGGGGGGTGAGGGTTGTAAAAATAGACCATCAATGTGTTTTACAGCCCTTGGCGCCAAAGTAGTGCATGAAACTAGAACTCAGTAAGGCAAGTGCTAAGGAACTTTTGCATAGTAAGACTTTATTTCCTCGACCAAGTTCATTTCAAAGAACGCCCTGAAGAAACATAAATTTTCTAGATTTTATGCTGGCAAATTAGTAATTTGTATGCTTAGTTTAAGATACATGTAAATTGCGCTTATATTTAATAGATTTTTCAGGGTAGTAAGACTTTATATTATCGACCAAGTTCATTTCAAAGAAAGCCTTAAAGAAACATAAATTTTCTAGATTTTATGCTGGCAAATTAGTAATTTGTACGCATAGTTTAAGATACATGTAAATTGCGTTTATATTTTAATAGATTTTTTAGGGAAATACTTAGCTAACTTTAAGCTTAAGTATCTTTTGTTCAGGATGTTTAGGAACTCCACAATTGGTTAAACTATCAGTTAGACATAGCATCCATGTAGCTTAAGTTACGACAAATTTCGAGTTCAATTAGAAAAGTTAACCTTGCATCTTGTCAGCTGAATTATTGAGCGAGCTTCTTTACTCTTGCAGTTTGTTCGCGTCCCACAACGAACCAACACCCAAAAAGTAGTTGTCGGGGCAACCAGCACTCGACACCGGAAAAGGAGAAAGGAAAAAGGGGTCAAGGAGGCAGGACTCACCGAACCTTACACGCAAGTGAGTAAATAACTGACGGTAACTGGCAGCCGTTAGATGAAATTATCAATTATGCAATTAAGAGGGGGCGGGAATTGTGGTAGTTGAGTGTCTCAGCCGAGAGTTATTAAAACTTTCGCCTGCTGCACTTATTGATCTAAATTAAATGTCAAGGCTACAGCGGTTTTAAAATAGTTGGGAAATTGCGTATTAAAAGCCAACTTGGTTTGGTTTGTGGGAGATTCCACGGTATATATTTAATTGCGGATTTAAAATAGTCTTGAAAGCTATGAAGCTTTCTTCTCGGGTATGGAAACCATATGTGGAATTGTCCTTAATAATTTATGCCTAAGTTGCTGTTTGAGTTTCCGTTTTTCTCATTACACTTTTCATTTCCGTTTCCCTCGGTCCAAAATGAAAATGTTACAGGGCAATCAGTCCTATACGTAATATGCTAATGAACTTTTGTTGCCAACAAGCTGGCGATAAACCAAGTACATGCCCCAACCTTTTGGCCCAACTGTTGCAAAAGTAACTTTTTCGTTTGAGTGTGTTTAAGTATGTGTGTGTGTGTGTGTGGGGGGATAACTGGGCATGTCCTTAGGTTGTCTAAAAGCAAGCTTGGCAAAATTCTGCTCACTTCACAGTCGAAAGCCGAAAGCCGACCTCCCATCGGCACAGCCTTCAATTGACCCTTAACCCTTGCCTTAGAGTGTCTCCCACTTGCCATCCACCTTCCACCTTCCACTTTCCACCTGAATTTACCTTGACGAAGAGTCAAGGACGTCAGACACACACTCATTCGAATTGCACGGCTGATTTCACCAATTGATTGCATGCAATTGTTTTGCCTCCCCGCCTTTCACTTGTCTGCTCATCCCGAACCAAATCCTTGGAATTTAAAAAAGGATTGGGTACACAAAGTACGTGAAAGCACTTTAACATTATTCAGCAGCAGGTCCTTCAGCGAATTATTCCCATTTCAACTGTTGCACATTCCAAAATAAGAGCTGTCATTTACAAATGAATATTTCATGGTGGTCGGATTTCATATTTGTGACTTATACTCTTTCAAAATGAATTTTCGATGTAAACAAACCGGACAAATCGGCACTCTTTGAAATCAATAATAGTTCTTGAGGTTTTGTTTATTTTTTTCTGCTTACGAACGAATAAACAAATCTAAATTCCTTACAGTTTTTAGTTTGACAGTATTTTGCAATAAAAATTTACTGAATCAGCATTCTTATCAAAGAAGAATACCAGTACAAATTCTTCAAATTGTCATTCCTTGAAATCAATAATACTTCTTCAGATTTTGTTTATTTCTTCTCGCTTACGAAAAAATAAACAAATTTGGGTGAGGGTGTCTGCAACTTCGCTTCTCGAAGTTCGAGCAAATATTTATGGTTTTTGTTTGGTCTGCGGAAATGCCGAAATGAGATTTTGCGGTTGCCACTTTGTATTCCGCTGAATGTTTCTGAATGCTTCTGCATGAACGCTTGATGAGCATATTTAATGCAGTTTGAAATGTGGTTCCAGGGCAAACAGCACTTAGCTAAAATATGAAATTAATTATGTTTGGGTCAGTTGATTCAATTAATGTGTAATTTTGGCTAACAAAACATTGACATTGACATGCGCGCTTTCACGCATCATAGAAAAATAAACAATATGCATGCTTAACTCGATTTCGGGCAAAGTAATTAAGGCAATAAATAACACAAAGTGAGCTCGGTTTAATTTGATAGTCGACTGATTGGCTCTAATTGTTTGGTAACCAACTGCAGCCTGCATTTCCGCATTTCCTGCTCGAGTGCAATTCATTTCCTAGGTCCTGCAGAATCAAGAGATTACCTTTTGCCGTCATCTTAGCGTAAAGTAGAACCTGAAGAAGCTCTTCCCTTGGCTTTCAAACACATTTGACCTTGTTCCGCTCGGCCAACGCTGCGTATGAGTGTTGTAGAGATGACTTTGTTGATTTGCTTGTTGCTTTCATTATCAATGTCAATGTGCTCTCGCTAGAAATTCATCGTATCTGTGAGATACTTTAACGCTCAATCATGCCGTCTCGCTATCGCTGATTGCTTTTGTTTTACCCTGATTTAATGGGGCATTTCGCAGACAGGAATAAGAGCAAATAATGAATGAATCCCATCTGTAGGTCATGAGCACCTCGTCAATCGCAATCCCAATTTGTTGCCATGAGCAAATAATGCAAAATTGATTTCCCTCTTCGCTTTATTTACTTTCATTTCGATGTTTTTACCTCTCGCCACCTCTCTGTGCAATTTTATGCTCTCAGCCTTATCATTGTTTTTTGTATATTTTTATATTTTTGCATCGAAGAAAAATTGTATACATTTTGCTCAGGCAATCGCATTTGTGTTTTGCAGTCCGAGTGGCGCGGGTCTTGTGTTGTTTTTATTTTTAGCGCGAAATTACGACATTTTCTCACTTTTCGATTGTGTTATTAATTGATTGAAAATGCGTCTAAGCCGCTTTCGCTGTTTGCAAGGCGTTTTGTAAGTTCCGCAATAGCTTTATTTTCTCGATCTGATAACTCAGCTAAGTGTTGGCTTTAATCTCCTTTGTTTCCCTTTCATAAGTGTAAAAACTGACAGCTGAAAAAACAATGCAATATAATTTACATGTACGTGACTTCTACTGAACTTTTTTTTCGCCTACATATAAAGAGGCAATCATCTGAGAAATGTTTACAAACGCTTTTTTTTAAGTTTTACAGGGTTTTGGATCTTTGTGCAAGATGATTTTTAATTTTGCTTTATAAGTCTGAGGTTTATTAACAATTTAATAAAGTTCAGTTTTTATTTGTGATTATTATTAAGAATTTGTCATCTTTGAAATTGTACTTCGAATTTCAGTATCACATGGACTTTATGAGAAAGTAATTGTGTTTTTAATGGTTTAATTGTGTAAATAATTTACTGATTTTTTAAGTTTAAAATCAAACTAATATTTATGGCTTCTTAAGTTCCATATTCAAAAACTTAGTTTTTATTTAGGTAAATTTAATTAGTAGGCGCCTTGAGGTTCTCCGATTTTACGTTTAATTAGCTAAGCAATCAGATCAGGAAATCGAGCCATTGAGCTTACCTTTCAAGTCGAGTCTATCACCAATCTGTTGTGTGCCATTTCCATTTCGATCTTTCCACAAACCAAGCAGCGTCTGTAGGATGAGCAATGCGGGAATCGACGGCGGAGGAGGAGGAGGCGGCGGCGGAGGATCTGGATCGATATCCGGAACAGGATCAACAGCAGTGCCGCCCACAACGCCACCACCCACTGGCCATGGATCCACTCGCCGCCTGAGCCACTTGTCCGGTGGAAGCCGTTCGGGAGGAGCCGCCGCCATGGGCAATGTGGTGGGCTGGCTGAAGCAGGTTCTGTCCACACCCAAAAACAATCCAAAAACCGTGATCCGTATTGATGTGTACCACCAACCCGAGCACAACACACAGTGTATAAACACACAAAACAAAGAAATACAAGAAAAATACACCTCTTTGCACCCCTCTGCTTTTGTGTTGCATCTCCCCGCCTGATTCTTCTGTTTCCCTGAAGTCCTTCGATGTGATCAAGTATTCGTTATAATCAAATACTAATTTCTGAATTATGTTTTGATATTTTTTTTCAGGCCTCCATTGAAGTGCGAGACGCCGGCACAAGAACATTGTCGATGCTGCAGAGCAGCAATCCTAATTTTCGATCTCTGGATTTATCTCTTGGTACGCCCACGCCCACCACGCCCACTTCCAGCGAGGTTCCAGTTGCTCCGGCCAGTGCCACCGCCTCGTTGAGTGGCTCCACATTGCAATTCGGACCGGAGGATCCCGAGGAAGGATCCGTCGCCGGGGAAAGTCAGTCGCTGACGCCGCTGGATGCCAGGGAACTCCTCACGAGACCCACGCGCGCCTACGCCTCAGTCAGTCAGCCACAGAGTCCCCGACATCGAGGTTCGGGTTCCGGTTCGGGTTCTCGGATCATCACACACGGCCTGACCGGGCGATCCACATCGATATCCTCGCAGCTGGAGAAGACCAAGAAGCTGCTCAAGATGACCGAGGGCGAGGACAAGCCACTGACCATTTTGCACTACAACGATGTCTACAACATTGAGTCCATGGCGGAAACGGAGCCCGTCGGAGGAGCAGCTCGGTTCGCCACGGCCATCAAGAGCTTCGCACATCTGAATCCTCTGGTTCTCTTCAGTGGAGATGCCTTTTCACCCAGCATGTGTGAGTATACATATAATAAAAAAAAAACTTTATTTATTAAAAAATTCCAATTTAATTCTTTATTAAATTCTTTATTAATTTGTTTCAAATTTTAGTTTAAATATTATGGAAGAAAACTTCAGATAAAAATATTATCTATTTTAAATTATATGAAATTCACTGAAAAGATATTTAAATAATTTGTTAATAATCAAATTAAGTTAGGGATATTTATTTTTTCTGAGGCAGATAAATATGGTTAATAATCCAATAAACTAAATAATATTTTCATTGCAGTAAGCACCTTCACCCAAGGCGAACAAATGATTCCTGTGCTTAACAAAGTGGGAACACACTGTGCTGTTTTTGGCAACCATGATTTTGGTAGGTAAAATCGCATATATTAAACAGGTCCTTATTAACTAATTACTCTTTTTAGATCACGGCCTTGATGTCCTCGTGAAGCTGATCAAACAAACGGAATTCCCCTGGCTCATGTCAAATGTGGTGGACAACGAAACCGGTCGTCCTTTGGGCGGTGGCAAGATATCGCACTTCATACTGCACAACCAGATCTCCATTGGATTGATCGGTCTGGTGGAGCGGGAGTGGTTGGAGACCCTGCCCACCATTGACCCCAACGAGGTGACCTACATCGACTACGTGGAGGCGGGCAACAAGTTGGCCCGCGAGCTGCGAAACGAGGGCTGTGACCTCATCATCGCCCTCACCCACATGCGAACCCCCAACGATATTAATCTCGCCGAGAAATGCAATGGAATCGATATTATCCTCGGCGGCCACGACCACGTCCGCGAGGTGACCGAGATCAACGGAAAGATGATCGTCAAGTCGGGCACGGACTTCCAGCAGTTCTCGGTGATCACCATCGAGCGAGATGCCGCCAATCGGGAACACTTCACCACGGACGTCAAGTGCTTCGATGTGACGGCCAAGATTCCGGAGGATCCGGAGCTCAAGCAGGAGCTCTCCAAGTATGCCAGTAAGTGGAATTCAAAATTCTGAAATTTTTACATGTAGTACTCTCCGTACCGCAGATATTTTTTAATATTGAAAAAATTGGTTTTCAAAGGTTGTTTAAATGAGATATAAATTTCCAATTCGTTCTTGAAATGTATAAGTACTATATTAAAAATCCTCGAAATAGCTGGTACCTAGAAACCACTTTAGAGTGCTTCCTAAAACTAACTATCTTGAAAAGGTTTATTTGGCTCTTTATTTTTCCCTATTCCCTATCGGTTTATTTTGTTTTGCAAATGAAGACCTTTAAGTTAGGAATTTGATTACTTATTCTAATCTCTTTTTACTGTTTTGCAGAGTTCATCGAGAGCAAGCTGTCGGATGTGATGGGCGTGTTCAGCGTGGAGCTCGATGGCCGGTTCTCCAGAGTGCGAACCCAGGAGACGAATCTGGGCAATTGGGTGTGCGACGTGGTGCTGGCCGCCGTGGGAGCCGATGTGGTTATTCTAAATGGCGGCACCTTCCGCTCGGATCGAGTGCATCCGGTGGGAGCCTTTACCATGGGCGATCTGGTTAACGTCATCCCCATGCGGGATCCACTTATCCTGCTCGAGGTCAAGGGCAAGGTGCTGTGGCAGGCACTGGAGAACGGAGTTTCTGCCTATCCAAAACTGGAGGGAAGATTTCCCCAAGTGGCGGGCATTAGTTTCGCCTTCAATCCGCAGGCGGAACCCGGCAAGCGAATTGATCCGCAGCTTATCCAGGTGGGCGATGAGTACCTCAATCTGGAGCAAACCTACAAGCTGTGCGTCAAGAGCTACATCTTCATGGGCTGCGATGGCTATACAATGTTCAAGGATGCCACTGTGCTGGTGAGTTGGAAATAAAAATGTAATAAAGAACATCTCATTTTTACAATAGTTTGTCTTAGTTCAAGATTTCCTATTGTCCGATTGTTTTTAGTTTTTGAAATTTCTTAGTCTGTTAGTTTTTTAAAAGATACAAATATCAAATACAAAACATATAAGAAAAATAACAATAAGACCTATCGCGTAGTTTATACATTGTATGCTGTAAAAATTATTATAACAAAACTATTTACTTGTTTTAGATGGATGACGATGCCTGTCCCGAGTTGGGAATTACACTGCAGAACCACTTCAAGGCCATCAATTCCCGAAAGTGTGGCCAGAACACAAAGCACCGGCAGTCACTGGTCACTCTTTCCCGGAGACACAGCCTGGTGCAGTGCCTGGATAGCATGGATCTGGATGGACCATCACCCATCCGAAAACTATCCGTGGGTCATCACAACAAGTCAATGGATCTGACACACGGCAATTCCCAGAAGGTAAGCACAATAAAAAACAAGAATATTTAAATCAATATTAACCGATTATTTGTGAATAGATGCTGCGGCGAGCTTCTTTGGATGACCTGGAACAATCCACCTGCGATTTGGCGCCACAACTGGAGCACCGCATCATTATGATACAAAACGAAGAGGTAGAATATATTCTTTATATAATTATGATTCATCTAGTTATAATTTAAATATCATTTCCCCAGCATTATCGACAACTTCTGTTCAAAAAGGAGACGCACATCATGAACTCTACAATCACCGAGGCGGAGGACGAGTAAAGATTTACCGAAAGCCATTTAATTCATTTTTTGCATTTAATTTTTTATATTTTTATTTCTTTTTTTTCGTTTCTCTAGTTGCAAGAAAATTAGACAACTTGATTTAAGGGCAGGTTCCGAATTGGAGAGAAACATTTGAATAGGAATAAGGCAAGGCAAAAAGAAGATATACGCGTTAGCTAGTTAGTTAGTTTGGCAGATCTGTGGGATCGTGCTTTATATTATATATTATTAACGTTTACTGTTACCGCCACTCTGTTTTTTTCGGCTAAGTTTCGTTATGAACGTTTGTAAGACTTCCCCAGAGATGTATTAACTCGATATTGATATTGTATATGATGTATGTGTATGTAGTGAGTACGTGTACCTTAAAAAAAACAAAGCTTACCACTAGTTTAATTTACTTTTAATTAGATAAACTGATTTACACAACCAACTGATTATTATATATTGTAATTACTGAGCAGCCCTTATGTTTTGTGATCTAGATAAAAGAGTTTGAGCCGAGCTTTGAGACACCCTAGATATTCCGAAATAGTTGTTTTCAAAATTCCGAGTCCACAAACACAATCAAAAACTATAGGTTGTATGCAACAAAAAACAAAAAAACAAAAAAAGACACTGGACGACGACGAGAAGCACCAGCAAAAACTCAAGAGGCATGCAGATGTAAAGTGAATGTAAAGCAATATTTTAGACAATGCACCTAAATTTTGAATCTCGAAATGGGATATGTATATTTTTATGGACACTTTTGGAGCGCTTGAACACAGCAGAGCATATTATTTTTTAGAGATCGCGAACACAGCAGTCGTGCAACACTCATGGATAAATGCTTTAATCTTAAATAGTTCCTTGAACTTGCACACCACCAGCAACACGAGAAGCAACGTAAGCCGGAGTGTATTTTCTGTCCATAGGAAGCAATCTGATTGCGAAAAACTGACGACCAACCGGAAATCAGAATAGAAGCGAACACAATGGCAGCAGCTACCCACTCAATTACACAAAGTTAAACAATAAGTAGAGGAAGCCACTTACATGTACTCCATGCTTAACTGATTGTCCAGTTTAGAACGTACAGTTAACTAAAGCGAACAATATACAGGCCCAAAATGCACCTGATTATTAAAATTATAAAGGACCCATATAGATATATATATAGATATCGTACATCTTTCGACCTCCTTCCACGCCCACCGGCGGGCCAAACCTTCAACACTTTTAAACTATTTTGCAACGGGCCAATTAGCCCGCGAAAGAACGCATTTTGTGTATACTGAACGAAGTACATTGATTTATGTAAACATTTATTAAATACATAAACTATATGTAAGAGGGGATTCTTTAATTTATTTGGCGGAAGCACGTTTGTTAGTCAGCGGGGCACTAAAGTTGATTGGTTGGTTGGTTAATACTTCAATATGGTTGAGTTAAACTTCTAAGTCGATTGTGTTCTTGCCACACGGGGTGTTACTTTTTCTCAGTCTTCTAGCCGAAGCAATTGTTCAGTTTGAGGATCTTTTGGCGCCTTATGTTTACCTGCTGGGCCATCGGCGGCACGGGCGCATAATCATCGTCGCTGGCCACTGGATCATAGATGGGCTCATCATCCGACAGAATCGGATCATGACCACCCTGTTCGAATGAGCCGATCAGCATCGAGTTGTTCGCATACGGCAGAGATTGCAGCGACTGCAGTTCTTCATAAACGATCATTTCTTTACGGAACACCAATTGATTATTAAACGCGTTGCTCATTGCTATTTCAATGTACATGCTTGATGATAAGGAGATTTCTTAGCAATCTAACCAGTTCGTACTTGGTCGCTTATTGGAACTCGCAGTTTTTCGTAAATAGAATAGGAATTGGGAACATATAAAAACTCAGTCAAACAGTCCACAAATCACACTTCGTTCTGAGAGTTGTAAGAAGCGGACAATATGCGACACATTCTTGTGCTTCTGGTTTTTGGACTTGCATGGCAGAAGAGCCTTGGCTATGGCGCAACTTACCAAGATGTGAGTTTTAAGCGTGACTTTATCCTAACATAATCTGTAGGTTCCATTTAATATTACAGATTGAGGACATTGATTGGAATCAGCCTATCGAGACAGACCATAAATTAGACTCCATAAGCTCTGAATCACATAGTTATGAAAGAATGGCTGCTTTTGCAAAAGAAATTGCGAGACCGGAATTTGATGATTTTTTAAAAAACCTGTTTAAATTTGAAGGAAGACATGGGCAAACGCAGGGGGGGTTTTCGGGCGGTGATATCGGCCCACCCCCTCCCCCAATCTTTCCAATTAGAAGGAATGATAAAAAATCTAAAAAACAATATAATATGCATTAATTAAAAAATTGGAGACACTTACACCATATGTTGATAAAAAAAACAATAAATATACAGGCCCAAAGTGCACCTAATTAATATTATTATTAAATATCCATTCTTTTTTCATCTTCCACGCACACAGGAGGGACAAACCTTCAGCACTTTTTAACTATTTTGCAACGGGCCAATTAGCCCGCGAAAGAACGCATTTTGTGTATACTGAACGAAGTACATTGATTTATGTAAACATTTATTAAATACATAAACTATATGTAAGAGGGGATTCTTTAATTTATTTGGCGGAAGCACGTTTGTTAGTCAGCGGGGCACTAAAGTTGGTTGGTTGATTGGTTAATACTTCAATATGGTTGAGTTAAACTTCTAAGTCGACTGTGTTCTTGCCGCCTCAGTAGAACTGCAACACCAAGGTCTTTATGGCACTGGCAATGTGGAAGGCGCAGTCGCGCACCTCCAAGGTGTTTTTCTGTATGGCCTGCTTGTCATCCGCCTCGATGGCCTTCTGCAGACTCTCGCACTCGTGCTGGATGAGAATGTTCTGGCGGGTCAGCAGCTTGAGAGTCTCACGCGTCAACTCGCTGGCATTCGGTGGCTAAAATAAATGTTACTCATCAGCCATCCACCAAGGGATTGTTTTCCTATATGCTTCAATTTGAGGCTTACCAAATTAGCATAAAGAGCTATTAAATCAGTCACGGCGTTACGAATTAGCTCTCCATGTGGGGCAATGGATTGCTTCTGATCCTCCGGCACCGGCTGCATGGCTCGAATGAGCTCCTTTAGGCAACGAGTAACCAAATCAGAGCGCACCTTGACCTCCTCACCGAAAGGCTTGCCATCGCCAGCCATTTGGTACATGCTGGTCGTATTCCGGATATCCGTGTGACCCTTGGCCACGTTGGGAACCAGCCGACGCTCGTACATGCTGGCCGGTCGCTTGATGGTCGACTGGTTGGAGGAGTCATTGGAAGAACCACTCTCCGCGTTGCCAGTTCCACCCTCAGGCAGAGAAAGGGGCTCGTGCTCCGTATCCGGACTGCTTAAGCTCAGATCAATTCGGCTAAACCAAGGAAAAGCAAAGGGAAATCATAAAATAAAAGGAAATTAAATAATAATCATAACTCTCACAGTGGCTCATCGTAGACGCTGTTGTTGGAGGCGCTCGAGAACTTGGACTTGAGCTGCGAGTTCTCGCTGGACAGCATCTGCACCACGTTCTTCAGCTGATTGATCTCCGACTTGTAATCGCTGAGCTGCTTGCGCAGCGTTTCCATTTCGTTGTTCGAATTAGCGCTTCGCGGTGGCGTATGCACAATGGCCTTCACAAAAGAAATCATAAGAAATAAGAAAAATAAATTAATAAACTAAATGAAACTAAACATATAAACTATAAAATATACTCGCAACTTAATAAGAGGGAAAGCAGACAAATCACTGGGCAACTACACATAGTTAAACTACACTTTTACGAATGTTAGCTAGTTTTATTGAGGCTTACAGTCTACATTTGGATTCTACCATTGGGAATCGACTAGATTGGCTAAAATCAGGGAGCTATAGTGCCCTGGCCTACGGATGAACACAATGGGTACAGCACGGGGTGTTAATATTTCTCAGTCTTCTAGCCGAAGCTATTGTTCAGTTTGAGGATCTTTTGGCGCATAAGGTTTACCTGCTGGGCCATCGGCGGCACGGGCGCATAATCATCGTCGCTGGCCACCGGATCATAGATGGGCTCATCATCCGACAGATTCGGATCATGCCCACCCTGCTCGAATGAGCCGATCAGCATCGAGTTGTTCGCATACGGCAGAGATTGCAGCGACTGGTGACCGGGCAGTGGGGCATCCAGCGGACGCAGGTTGGCCATGTTTTGCCGCCTCATAGCGTCGACGAGCACATCGGTCAAGAGACCGGTGAACTCGGCACGATTAAAGCGTGCCAATTTCTGGCGACCCTGAAAGCGAGACGATGTCAATGAATTTAGGTTTCAATCATCTATGAAAAGCGAGGCCAAACCTGATTGCGCGTGGCGCTCAAAAATGGATTAGCCGGCAAAAATGGCACAGTTGCATGATCAGCATTCAGAGTGCTAGTCGACCAGACTGAAAAATTACAAAAATATGATGAGTTTCATTTGCAAAAATATTGGATATTCATGTTTCAATTACTGGCTTCGCATTCCCGTCTGTCCACCTCGTCGTAAAGGTCCATGACCAGCTCCTCGAACATCTTATTTGGCACGAGTTGCAGTTTTCCACGGGCAATCTTCAGCTGCTCGCTTATGTCAGCTCCATTGGCATCCGGTATTATCATATGGCGACCACTCTGAAATCAATAAATTATTCTTATATTAGAATAAAGTATTGTTATCTACCTAATTTTAAGATAATATTAGTTTGGATGCAATTACAAGACATAATGATAATATTAGTGATAATATTACTGTTTTGCGTTAATTCCAATTCTATTTACGAAAAACTGCGAGTCCCAATAATCGACCAAGTACGAACTGGTTAGATTGCTAAGAAATCTCCTTATCATCAAGCATTTACATTGAAATAGCAATGAGCAACGCGTTTAAAAATCAATGGGATTTCCGTAAAGAAATTATGGTTTATTAAGAACTGCATGGAGCCGTGCAGATATATACTGATGTCGGAAGAATATAAAAACTCAGCTAAACGGTCCACAAATCACACTTCGTTCTAAGAGTTGTAAGAAGCGGACAATATGCGACACATTTTAGTGCTCCTGGTTTTTGGACTTGTATGGCAGAAGAGCCTCGCAAGCCCAGTGGTGAGTTTTTAGTGATACTTTATCCTTACAAAAGCTGTATGTTCCATTTAAAATTACAGATTGAGGATAATGAATGGGATGAGACCGTCGAATCAGATTTCTACTCCGACCCCCTAAGTTCTGAATCAGATACTAATGAAAGTATTTTTGCAATAGAAAAGGTGAAGAATAAATTTGAACAACTGACAGCGAACTTTAAGGATTTCATAAACGAGCTGTTTGAACGGAAAGGAAGGAATGAAAAAAATGATTATTTACTAGAAAATGATTATGGAAGTGCACTCGCTAAAATGGATTCCGAAATGGATACATTGAAGTCTTTAAATGAAATTGATCGAAAATCTATCAAGATGATTGGTACGAAATATTATTATATTGAAAACCATGAGAAGCTAAGCTGGGGGGACGCCGATGAAAAATGTCTTCAAATGGACGGTAACTTAGTTACTCTTCAAAATTGGGAAGAATGGAGTTCAATATCACTGCACTTGGAGCGAAAAAACAACTATTGGATTGATCTCCACTCCCAGATGAAAATGGTTTCGCAAACTACCGGAGAACTAGCCCCCTCCCTCATGTGGAAGAATCGTGAGGATCGCGAGGAAGCTCTGTCAATAATAAACAACGAGTATTGCGTCGAATTGAACGCGCAATATGACCATTACATGATGGAGAACAATTGCTCTAGGAAAAACCATTTCATTTGCGAAATTCGCGCACTGGATGCCTTTAATCTACCAAGTTGGTGAATTATTGTACAAATCTGTCTGTGTAAAACCTTAAACGAAAATATATTTCTCGGCAAATCTTACTTGATGTTTTTTTTAAGCATTTACCAATTTAAAATATATACAACTAATTAATTCATTTTATAAACAATCTGATAACTTTTTATGTGAGCGATTTACTTGAGGGACCACAAGAACTTAATAAAGAATAAAATTGGAAAACATCTAAAATTCTGGCAGTGCACTAGCGACTTAAATCAAGTATGAGTATTTAAGCTCACCGCATGATCTGGCTTCTTGCCTCCCAGGAACATTATGATCCTGTCGGTCACATCGTACATGGCCTCTAGCAGTCTTTCAGCGATGGTGTTGTGATTGTTGGCCCTGGCCAGTTCCAGCGGTGTCATCCCATTGCCATCTAAAGCGTTGACATCGGCTCCATAGATCAGCAGCATCTCGATTTGCGAGGCCTGTCCAAACTTAGCAGCCATGTGGAGTGGCGTGGATAGCTTGTCCTCGTGATAGTAATTCGGATCAGCTCCCTGGACCAGAAAACGTAGAGAAGTCTCCAGGTTGCTTGTACGTACACTGGCATGTAGTTGCCTACTCAGCTCCTGTTCCAGACTGCCCACGGATCCATTGCCATCATCATCGTCCTGCAGGCTTGGCTTTAGTACAAATGTAAGATTGACGTGCTTGGCCTTGATGAAATCGGATTTGGTAGGATGCAGGGCATCTTTGGGAGTGGGTTTCCGCCATCGGGGCAGATGTTTTCCTCCCGTAGAGCCACTACTTCCATCCAGCAGATGGTGCTCCCACACGCTATTTGCTCCATGCGCATTTAGGGAGTTGACAAAGTTCAGGACCGATGGCTCCCAGTTTCCCTGGCGAAGGGACTTCACAATCGATATGTGCCTCCCGAGACTTCGATGCACGGAACAGCAATCGGCGCAGAGCAGGATTCCCCGGTTGATGCTCGCCCAGGATGGATCACCAGCTCCACAGTCGCCACAAACTTCCGTTTGCAGGCGGGATTTCCCCCTTGACATCTTGATTTTGTTCGAAATCGTGGGCGTGGCTGGATTGGGGTGCTCCAAATCCGGCGGCGCTATAAATAACTTCCTGTGCGCTTCGATTATGCTGCTGGCGAAACACATTCAGCATTCCAAAACGATCACGAACTGCAGGGGAGATACAAAAAATAGAACACTGAAGTTGAAAAATCTGGGGGAAAACTCAAGTGGCTTCGTTGTGAGTCAGTCGAAAACTGTGCTTTCTGATTGGAAATCCGAGTGGATGCCAGTAAAAGGTCAAATATCAGCGACTTGGGCTCACCCTGGTCGTTAATTGGGAAAATTACGTTTAATTAAACGCGGAGAGCTGCACTAGAAAACATTTGCGGATGGTTTTTTATAACTTGTTTTATTTTTCTGCAATCCAGTATGACCAGGTTGTTGGAATAATAAAGCGCCAGATTCAAACCGCGAATGACTTAGTACGTTTTAATTACTGCTAAGGCCATCTTGATAAATAAAACGTTTAAAAAAATTTATATATTTTTAAAATTTATATATTTATTCTTGTACAACGTCAGAAAACCAGAAAAACTTAGTAAAGAATTCAGCGCTACCAGATGTTTAATGCCTATGGTCTTACTATCTGCAACCACCTGGCAGCCCTATACGTAACATATAATTATCTCGCTCGCACTTACCCAAAGAAAAAAACATATGTTTATCAACAGATGGGACAGTTTAAGAAGCACTGCAGTTTTAAGCACATGTGTCAAAACAAAACAAATTAGCCGACTTTGAATACTATTTTAGTTGATACAAAATAACAAGAAAAACTAAAAAGTAATAAAGCATGCAAGTGGAAAACTTGTACACTTCGGTGGCCTGCAATCGATGCACGGAATGCGCGGATTGGGGTCCAAATGGCTGGATTGCCTATGGGGCCTGCAATGCCGTAGCGATAATGGATCCGAAGGTGAGATTTTACAAAAATGTGAAATAATCAACAAATAAATGCTTTCTCTAGTTTAAAGGCAACTCGGCCAAGATCCTGTTTACACTAGTGGAGCATACAAAGCGAGTAAACACTGTGAGGTGGTTGAATAAAGGGACACTGCTTTCCGGCGGCGATGATGCAAATGCGGTTTTTTGGGAGTTGGACGAAAGTGGAGCCACCAACCGTATCGTACTCAAAGGGCACACGAGTGGAGTTAATGCAGTGGATGGAGTTCGTTGGCAGGACGGATCATGGCTTCTCGTCACTGCTGCGGCAGATAGCACAATTAAATGTTGGCAAGAGAACGAAGACATTTTTGTGTGTTATCAAACCATATCTCTATCTGAAGGATTTTGCTTTTCTCTTCGGCTAAAGAAGCTGCCCAATAGTAATCATTTTCTGCTAGCTACCAGTGGCGATGACGAGACTGTTTCCTTGTGGACAGAGCAAGAAAACAAATATGCAGACCTGGAGTTCCACCGCGTCCACAAACTGGCAGGCCACGAGGATTGGATTCGAGGGCTGGACTTCGTGGAAGATGGAGAGGATTTGCTGCTGGCCAGCGGCTCACAGGATAATTTCATTCGGCTCTGGAGAATCGCGCCTCGTAGTGAGGAGCAAATGCGCGAGAATCGGATTGACCTGCTACAGATAAACAATAGCGACAGCGAAATAAAGGTAGAGGAAAAGATACTGGAACTTGGGAAGGAGGCCTGGTATGCAGTTAGCTTGGAATCGGTTTTATATGGCCACGAGGGATGGATTTATGGTGTACAATGGCATAAGACTCAAGAGGAAGGTTAGCTAAGTCCTTTAAGCCCCGAAAAACCGTTTTCATCTTGAATCTTTTCAGAGCTTCGTCTTCTTTCCGCCTCAATTGACAAGACCCTCATAGTTTGGGCTCCCACGGAGCAAGGCGTTTGGCTGGAGCAGGTTCGGGTTGGCGAAGTAGGTGGAAACTCGATGGGCTTCTTTGGTGGAAAGTTCTCCAGCGATGGACATTCGATCCTGGCTCACAGTTACCAAGGTGGATTCCACATTTGGAATCAGGATCTAAATCGCCCACAACTTTGGACATCAAATGTCATTGTGGGAGGTCACTATGGCGAAGTGAGGGACTTGGCTTGGGAGCATGACGGCGCCTATTTGATGACCGTTTCAGCGGATCAAACAACACGACTGCACGCTCCTTGGCTGCAAGAGGATGCTAATCCTACTTGGCACGAGCTGGCGCGTCCTCAAGTTCATGGTTACGACATGCAGGCTTTGGCTTTGCTTTCGCGTTACAAATTTGCCAGCGGAGCCGAGGAAAAGATCGTGCGCACCTTTCAGGCGCCGGCTAACTTCATTGAAAACTTCCGTCACATCAGTAAGATAACAAACGATGTGGCAGGAGATGCTCTACTGGATTGTAAGTAGTCTTATAGTGTTTTTTACTTTACCATTATCATTTACTAGCAACCTTCCTCTTAGCTCTTCCGAAAGGGGCTTCTGTCCCCTCCCTGGGTTTGTCCAACAAGGCTGTCTACAAAGTAGAAACCGAAAATGAGGCAACCAGCAAGGGCAAAAATGAGTATCCCGATAATTACTTTGTGCCCATTACTTTGGAAACGCCACCACAAGAGGAGACCTTAATGCAGAACACACTTTGGCCCGAGTTGCAAAAGCTTTATGGCCATGGATACGAAATCTTTGCACTCGCTGCCACAGCCGATGGTTCTGTTTTGGCCTCCACTTGCAAAGCTAGCAATGCCGAGCATGCCCAGATTATATTATGGTGGGTGTTAAGCCAAAAGGCTTTAAATTCTTGATGAGGCTTGGTGTTGCATTAATTAATCTTAATTATGTTAAACTTGTCCGCATGATTATTTGCTGTTTCAGTTTAAGGTTTAAAATATAAACTAATAGGTAACCTTTTCTTCAGGAACCCCACAACATGGAAGCAATTGCAAAAGTTGAGCGGCCACCAGTTGACTGTCACCCAACTGAGTTTCTCCCCCGATGCGCGCTATCTTCTATCTGTTTCCCGGGATCGTCGCTGGTGTCTTTTTGAAAGACAGGACTCCTCTGCGGGCTACCAACTGGTGGCCAGCACAGACAAATCCAATGGAGTGCACACACGCATTATCTGGTCTTGTGATTGGTCGCATGACGGTCAGTACTTTGTGACCAGCTCAAGGGAGGGAAAAGTAGTGGCTTGGAAGAAGGGAGAAGACGCCGAAGAATCTTCTCTAAACGGCTGGCAGGCGGCAGGAGTTTTGGACATAAAAAATGAGTCGATTACAGCTGTGGCTTTTTCCCATAACTATCTAAACGGAACAGATGACACATACATAGTCGCTTTGGGAACGGAAACTGGGCTGATAAAGATATATCAGTTTGCTCAAGGAGAATGGAAGTTACTCAGTGATTTGAATAAAAGGTGAGCTCATAAGATATCAAATTCTTAGTTTTAACTATTTATACTTTTTAATCTTACAGTCAAGCTCATCATCTCACCGTTCGGCGTCTGCAATTCCGACCTGGTAAACAACTCCAGCTGGCGAGTTGCGGGGAAGATCATTTGGTACGCATCTACGACATAAAGCTTACATGAGTTTGACTACGTGTGCATTAAACTAGCCTTATTAACTTCAACCGCTGCGTTTAATTAGAAATCTGTATCATCTGCAGACATTGTGGAAAGGGGATGGGTCTCGTCTCGCTTGGTTTATCTGAATGTCGCTATCTAATCTGCAGCAATTAGCTGTGGTTGGGGTTCTCCCTCGGCTTCTGTTTTCCGTGCCTTGATAACATGTTATTGACACCTAATTAGCTGCAAAATATTGGCGTTGCAAGCACTTTGATTCGGGTATTTAAGTGGCATGCTAAAATAGCTGGAATCACAGTCTTTTGTAAACAACTGAAGATGAAGGTAGCTATTGTTTTGGCATTGATCGGTACGGTTTTGGCTGCTCCGCCACTGCGGGCGACGCAGCAGGCTGTCCATGACATTGACCAGTACGCTCACATCTTTGCCCCGGTGCGAGTTTCGGGTGAGAGGCCCCAGCACTTGGAAATTGAGTTTGAGCCACAACACCATGGCTCTGTGTCAGACAACCGGGAGCTGCAGCTGGAGATCGAGATAAAGCAGCAGCACCAAAACAACAACCAGGCTCAGGAGCACAATCGTCCCCAGCACTTGGAGTTCGAGGTTAAACAACAGCACTCCGAGTCTTCGGCAAATCACCTGGTTGATTTGGAAATCAAGCCCGTTGAGCACAAGCCACCTCAGCACTTGGAGATCGAGTTCCACCAGCAACACCAGAACTCTGCCCAGGGACATTTGGTTAACTTGGAAGTGAGGCCAGTGGAGCAGAAGCCTCCCCAGCATTTCGAAGTGGAGGTCAAACAGCAACAGCAGCCAAATCATCATGTTGAGTTGGAGATCAAGCCTGTGGAACAGAAGCCACCGCAGCAGCAGCAAAATTCAGCTTCGGGACATCTGGTTCCTCTGGGACACCTGGTCCCTCTGGGACCCAAGCCCATGCCAGCCGATCGTGACCAGCATATCGATCTGGAAGTGGCCCAGGAGGAGAAGCCCATGCTGAACCAACACTTCAACCTCAACTTGCGCCAATAGAGCGGCGGACCATAAAATGTATCCTTACTACAAAAGGCATTAAATATGAATAATTACAAAGAGAGCGTTTTGACTAGGACAGTCCTCCCAAGGTGCTTGTAAAATGAGAAATAAATATACAAAAATGGTTAGACCGCGGATGGAGCGAGCAAAAAGGAGCAGCAGTTTGCAATTTCCGTTTAGCTGCGGCAGCATAGTTTTTGGCCAAGAAAGTCGCTTGGCCACGTGTCCGGGATTCGGGCAAAAGGAGTCAACGAGTCAAGGATTCGGGCAGTCAGAAGTGGCGCTGGGTGCTGAGTTATGGCCAGAGCGTGCCACCTTTTAAACCGCAGCTTGCAATTTCCGTGCTCCAACTGACTTTATGATTGCCAATGGCTTCTGGCCTCGGCTTCAGCTGCAGAGCACCATTGTTGTCCAAACTTTCGGGATGGAGTGGAGCGGCGTGGAGTGGGGTTGGCAGTGTGGTTAATTGGCTGGCGGCCATCTTTCGCTGGCACTTTAATTATGTTGCCGTGCAGTCCGCTACTCCGCTACTCCGCTTCTATAAAGCTTCTACATCTATATCTGTGCATCTTCAACAGTGGCGATGTCGTTGAACCGCAACATAGATAAGCGCATAAATCTGCATTGTTCCGTCTGCCACAATGGGGCAGAAAGTTAACTATTGAATTGCATTTAGGCCACGTCGGAGGTCGATTGTCCTCGCACCTATTCAGAGTCGGGCAATATCCCGTGGGAAAGTGCCGCGTAGCCCCCATGGCTCGATGGATCCTGGATCCGGGGCTTCCTTCGACGTTTGTTCACACTGTACCGTGCTGATGGAAAACCGCGAAAAAATTCGCTTCTCATGATTGCTTTATTTCGGGGATTACACCCAACAAATTTCTAGATACTTTCTCTTTCCCTTTTAAATTTCAAAGATATTGTTTCATAAAGAGAGTATAAAATATGCAAGCTTTATATGACTAGAGCACCTGTATTCCATAGTTTGTTTAAAATACCTTCAAAAAATATTATGTATTCATTTTAAATCATCCCCTATTATTTTTCTTATGTTAGTTAAATTTATTTGCATTTTATTTAATTGAATTGTGATAGTCTAGAACCATAAACTGTTTAAACTGAATGTTTAGCAATTTGCAAATATTGAAGGTGTAAAGTTTAGAGTTTTTATAAGGTTTTAATTTTTCAGAATTTAGGAAAGTAATAAGAAACACAAAAAGAAATATATCGATTTGTAAATCAATAATTAATCGTTAAAAAACGTTGTTTTATAGTAGCATAACATACTTTTCCTTCAGTGTCAGACTTTTCGCACGCGTTTTATTTTGAGTCAAATATTGGCAAACAAAGCGGCCATTGCGATGGCACTACACGCGTTTCCGCTTCCGCTGAAAGTTGCACACAAAAATGCATATATTCATGCTTTTGCAATGAAACTTTTGTTCAACTTGCATTGTGCTATGGCATGATTCCACTCTTTATTTATTTTCTTAGCCCCGCCATTTGTTATTGCTGCAACAATTTTGCATTCTGCGGAAAAAGTTTAAGTTTCAATTGCAGCGAACGTGCCCAAGAGTTGCTGACAGCCACTGGAGCAGTGGAAACTGAAGCCATTCTAGCCATAACATGTGTAAACATATATCCCCCTTCCCCTCCCGCCGAATACACCACATTCAGAATCCTGCATCCTACATCCTGCATCCTGCTTCCTGCCCGAAGTCCACAGAGCCATTCGTTTGCATGTGTGTCAGTAGTGGATTTCGCTAGGGTTGCGCTTTCTGTTTGCCTGCCATAGTTTTTTGTTTGACTTGACGTCCAATCTTCCTTGTACTGCAAAAAAAACTGCTCTAAAAACTGGAAACTGAACAGTTTCTAAGGAAACAAGTTTGAAATTCATAAATCCTGGCGTAATTCATCGTTCACACAATTACGATGATGGTGCTTGAGGAGTTCCTTCTTTTTATTTTTCTTAGTTTGTTTAACCCACTTTCTTCTTTAAAGTCAATATTATTGAAAAAGTGGTTATAAAATCTAAAAACATTTAATTTAAAATAATATAATAATTAGAACTGAAAATGTTACCTATATATTTTGTTTTATGTAAGAGTATGTATGGTTTATCTCTTTTGAGAACTAATACACCAAATATGATATTTGGATTTCGGAGAATTTATATGCTTTATATGTATATGTGACAAACCAAAAGAACATTTTATTTATTTTTAAAGTTAGTCTTACCAATTTTTATATACTACACTATACAGTAATGTAAAACGAATGTTACACATATGCAAATTATAAAATTATTATAAGGCAGTTCGTACTTAAAGTATCCTCAATAAATTATTCATTTATTTAATAGCTATTGAATAATATATGTAGACATTTTGGGAGGCATTAAATATATAAACTTAGTTTGTAGCTTTAAGTGCACTCTGTACTGTAGTCCTTTGCGCGACGTTCCTTTTAACGAACTCACTTTGTTCGGATCTGTGAACATCTTGATGGGTTGCTGATGCTTTCCTTATGCTGGTCATCCTCTTCCGAAAGTCCGTGGCAAATTAATTATTCCAACGGGGCGACGTATGCCAGCCATATCCATATTTTTCCCCTCTTTTCGCTGTCACAATTTCCATCCTCCGCTGCAGTCCACGAACCACACATACACTCACACACACACACATTCACATTCCGACGCATATGTTTCGCTCGTATTTCCGTTTTGACTGGGACAACAACAATGGCGCGCGCGCTCCATGATTTGTGCATTTCCGTTTTTTTGGCGGCACGCACGCGACGTGCACGCACATGCATGAGGCGGAGGAGGAGGGGCAGTGGGCGGACCGGAAGCTGCTGAACTGCCACTGCTGAAGCCAAAAACTGCGACAATGCCAATTGATGCGCATTGAGCATTTTGGCCTAGTTTGAAGTGAATGGTTCTGGTTCTATGGCCTAGTTTAAATGGCCAATTGATTAAGCCACGACGAGTGGGACTGCTTTTTGGCGCATTTGCCGTTGTTGTAACAAGCAAAACTTTGAAACGAAAACTTTCGGCCTGCTAAGCCCAAAAGCCAAAGCGTTCAAAGTTTTTCAATTACCTGACCGTACTGTACTCCTGTCTCCAGAATCCTGCAGCATCCCAAAGCAAATTCGCGTAGTTCTGTTTGGCCAGGAATCGAAAGGAAAAGGGCAACTTTAACAAGACAACAGCAGAAACTGGTGAAAGTAGCTAGTTGAAAGTTCTGGCGCATTGAAAAAAATAAAAAAAGAATCCCGCGATGTTGTGGATTTTGATTATAAATATTGTAATATAACCTTGCAGGTCGACCCATTTGGCTGGCTCAATTTAGTGGGCTAGTCTGTTTTCATTTGTCTACAAGCCTTTGAAAGTTGGTAAACCTTAATTGTTTTCCAATTAGTTTTGCTGTAAAAAGTTTGAAGTTCATTTAGCTCCTCCCGCAATTCGTTTTTGCCCTCGCTTTATCTCCTGTTTTTTGTTCGTGTCGCTCGCAGTCAACGTGGCGTATGATGAATTTTTAATTACGTGTGCTGCAAGCAAACCAGACAGAAAAGCGAGGCAAGCAAAAAAAAAGGAAGTACAAAAAAATTGGTAACAACTGTTTGCCACTTGCAAATTGCAGCTACCCAAAAAAGTAATCCAAAAAAGCAGGAGGGCAGTTGAAGAACTCTAAAGCCAAAAACGAAACGTTTTTGCTGAATTTTTTTGGAGGTGCAACAAGAGTTTGTATTCATAGAGGCGTTTTGTTCATAAAGGCAAAAAGCAACTCGGCACTTGGGCAAGATAATAACACAGACGGATGGAAGCGTTTAGTGTCCTGCACTTGACAATGAAACTGAGCCTGAATTTCGGATTAATCGTTGGAGTTACGCCCCGATGTTTGGTCAACGCTTTAAGCCCAATTTAAATGCAGCCATTATGCTGCTGCTGTTTGTGTTTGCCGAATGGAATCGAAAACAGTTTCAATTGTTTTAAGCGCGAATCGCTCTCGGCCATTTTCAACACTCCTGATTGCAGTTGTAAATTTGCGAAAAAAATGAAAGAGCAAACGGGTTTTGTGTACTGTCAACAGAGCAGAAGCACCATCATCACCTCTGGCCACCCACCCTCATCGTCACACCGCCGAACCACCGATGCCACCGAACCACCGAGGCCACCGCACCACCACCGCAGGCAAATAGCCCGAATGCACGGACCACCGGGCATTTTTCCAGCATTTACGATTTCCCTTATTGCCAGCGCTTTCATTTCGCTTTTCGGACACTTTTCCTGCTCGCTGACAATTTTGTGTTTTTTATCAATATGCCTGGTGTACCCGAAATGCAATTCGCGTGGACATCTGTAATGCATTGCCGCCATAACTTTTATTTCGCACTGGAATTATACTATTTGCAGGACGCACTGATTCATTTTGAACGGCTCTAGGCGTTGTAAATGGTATTTTTAAAGATCCATTCTAAGGAATACATATAAAAGAGGGCTTAAAAAGGTATATCTACACAGTTAAATTTCTACATGGAAACTGCTTCTGTAAATATTAATTATAAAGAAATAACAAACAAACTTTAAAGTTGAATTATATTTTAAACAACATTTTATCTTTCAAAATTTTAATGTATTTACCTTGATTTTATTCTGTTTTAATTTAAAAGATTTCACTTATAACTTTTTCAACTTTTGTAGGTATTTTAGGGTATTTCAATTTTTTAATTGTAATGATTTGTTGTACACTTTAATTTTAAGAAAGTATTTTACATGTATTTAAATTGAAAGTATATTTTTTTAAATAAATCCGGAACCCACACGGATTATGGCTTTTCAACTGAGTTGCATAATTCATGCACACGCTTCAGTTCTTTCAGCTGTCATGGACTTTTTTTCTCATTTTTTACGACAGTTCATCGTTTGCAACTGGTGGGCGTTAAAGTTAATTTGTTTACGCTGATGTGTCAATATGGAAAATACGCTTTTTGTGACTCCATCAAGGGCTGCGAATAGATCTGTCGGTGGAACAAACTTTCGCCGCATCATGGGGATT